ATCCTAGGACAGTAGAGAAATTCCATAGGTTCTGTGGCCCTAAAAGAGTAGAGAAGTCATGGGGAATGGAAACACCTAGAATGATGAGCTTAAAGGCCACCTCAGAGTTTCTAGGCTCTCAGAGGAGTGTGCTAGAAACGATTCAATAGGTTTAAAACATCAGGAAGAGTGGTTTAAATAAATATAAGGCTTCAAATATCCCAGGCTGGGACAGAGAATGGAGCTCCATTTACTTCCACTCAATGTTGGAGTTTCCCTTGAAACAAATGTAGATTGCAGTGTGCAGAACAGAGTAAGTTGCACCCCACTGAGAGTTGGTGAGGACACAGGACATATGTAAACCCACTCCACTGCCTTTCCCCTTTCTATCTTCCAGGCTTTTACAAGGAGAAAGAAAAGTATTGGTAATGTGGGGTGTCGTCATCTATCCACACCATGGATAGGAAAGCCAAATGACAATTGACACTGAAGTCATAAAGCTGAGGACAATTCATCTGTCACATATAGTGACACCATGGCGACGGGAATGGGCATGGGGAAAACACTGTACATGTATAGAGCTACAGACGTGCAAGTTTTTATGTAGGAGCATATGGGGTGTCATTGACTGCCGAGAAACGGATGTAATTGGTATGGGGATACCATTGACTGCCGAGAAACGGATGTAATTGGTTTGCTTGGACAATTTTGCAGGCAGGCAGAGAATAGAATTCAGGGTTTTCAGAAGCTATGACTGGTCCCTTTGATAAAAAAAAAAAAAACATGTGTCTGGCCCAGAAACTTTATCTATAGAAAAAAACAGTGAGGGAACTTAGGGTTAGACCAATTGCAAAGTATTATATCAGATGTTCAGTCTCAAATTTTGGCCTTAAGCCTTAATTCATGCCTGATATGGATGTAAGGTGATTTGTTCCATTTTGTTGTTGTTTGCTGGATTGGTTTGTTGGTTTTGTTTAATTTTATATTGAGATGTTACCTGGAACTTATGGACCAGAGAGGCTTCAAACTTATGGTGATTCTACTGCACCTGGATCCTCAGTTTGGGATTACAGGCATGTGCTTGCTGATATATCTTAATGAACAACAGTTTAGAACTAGATGATAACCAAGGCTCATAGGAATGATCAAAAGCATTTCTACTTGAATGCAAAGCATCCACCTGACAAAGAAAGTACACATATCTTGAGATGGTAATTTAGAAAAACCATGAACTTTACTACACAGCCTGTTGTCCAGCCAATAATGGCAACATAGGGACCTGTCTGACACTGATGTAGAACTCATTATCTCCAGACACCAATCAATGCATTTGGCGAGAATAACACTTAGCAGGAGCGGGGAGTGCCATTTTCCAATGTGTGCTTTAAATAAGAACTCTTTGGAAAAATCATTAGACTTCTCACTTACCCTGGCTGTCTCCAAAGCCTAATCCTTACTAGGTTGTAATGGGGGGTTGAATTCCCACTAAATATCTTCTCTAACCTATTGCACTGAGTATTTTAAGTCACGTGATTTCCCAGATTATTGTTATAGTCTAGGACCCCCAACCAGATAGGAAGCATCCTGTTGGGGCTAATCTGTAATGTAAGACTCCTAGGAGAAATGTGTTAACACAGCTCATGCTTTATATATCTGTAAAGCAAGAAAATCCTAATGTTCGTTACCTAAAGGATTGCAAAAAATGGTTCAGGAGGGGCTGATGGCCAGGGCATCCAGTGCTAAGATAAATGCCTGCAGTGTGCCCATTGAACCACCCCTTGGTTCTGTCCTTTATTAGAAATGTTTTGGCTAGGAGACAAAAAGAAACAACTCTCCAAAATGTGTAATGGAAACATTACTACTGCATTCACTCAGTTTATCACAAGAGATTTGTCATATGGCTAAGATCATTGAGAAGCAGATGACTTCATGAATGTAATAGTGTCTGGAAAATGAGAAAGCAAAAAAGAGACCACCACTCCTGGGAGTGGGAGGGGGGTTGTCAAACTTCCCAGCTGTGACTCCATCCTGTATTCAGGATCCCAGTAGACATGCCAAGCTAATAGGGTACTACTTCAATAACCCAAGGTAAATGGGTTGCTGGGTGCTTTTGAAAACAGGCTCAAGTTCTATGAGGTTCTGTTAGAGGAGTCTATTCTAATTTCGCCAAGAAAAGGCATTTTTAAATTAGAATCTCAGGGGCAATTTGTGATCATCATACGCAACGTAGAGACTGGAGGTATGAGATAGAGTGACCAAAGCATCCGTAAGCACTAGTGGACTTACTTCTCACTTACAGTTTGCGCAGAGTATCTAGGTTTTAGCTTCACAGGATTCTTCTTCAACATTAACAAAAATTATAGTAATATTAAGATTTCCAAAAGAGTATGTTGCCTCAAGAATGTAAAAGAAAAAGTAGATGTTGATTTAGTTTTATATTGCTTTGACAAAGCACCATGACCAACGAGACTTAGAAAAGAAAGCTCTTAATTGGTCCGATGGTTCCAGAGGGTTTGAGTCCATGATGGTAAGGTAAAGACACAGTGACAATAGCTTCTGAGAAGGCACATCTTGCTCTCAAAGTGTGAAGCAGAGAGTGTACACTGAGAATGCTGCACATATTTCAAGTCTCAAAGCCCAATCCAGTGGCAAATCTCGTCCAACAAAGCCACACCTCCTTATCCTTCCCAAAGAGTTCTACCGGTGGCTGGGGGTGGTGGGCATCGATGTGGGTTCAAGCATATGAACCTGTGGGGGGCATTATCATTTAAACTATCATAGACATTGGATTTGTATTCACTGTGAGAGTTCTGAGAATGTGAGTGTCTATTCCTTGACAGTGTCAAGAATGGAATGGCATACGGGTTAACAAGTGACTTCCAAGTATTTAGCAGAGATGAAAGGGCCTGCTCCTATGCCTGAAGTAGTGGCTCATCTGCTTGTGTAAGCTCTTTTCTGAGTCTTTTTGATCAGTATATATAGATATAGATATTTTTTTTTCTTAAGCAATTTCCTGTAGGGAATGTGTACAACAGCATTGTGGCTCATAGATGCCATGAGAGTCATGTCTCTTTGTAGGTAAAAGCAACTGTGATCAAGAGGCTGTTGAAATGTGTGGAAAATTCATCATATTAGCCAGGTTAATAGCAGCGAAATATTTGTAAGTTATTGATTGGACAAAGTCAGCACTTTTAATCAGGAGATTGTTAGATATGCAGGCCTTTATGCTAAGATTGTAGAAATTCACTACAGAAGACCATACTCTGTCCCCCTCTCCAAGATTTAAGAACAGGGCAGATTAAGTCCAATTGAGATAAAATGGAGAATCAATCAGTATACTTGCTCCTTCGCCCACCAGCTCTTATATAATACGTTTTAATCCTTAAGACATTATTTTAAATTAAATGAGGCATGTTAATTATTTTAACATTGAGTGAGGGTAGGAGAATTGGGGCTTCTCATTCTGTCAAACAAATTTGTGTCAAAGATTTCATCTGCATTAGGTGAAATGTCTATGCCCACCATGGGATACTTTAAGGCAGTGCATTCTGATGATTAAGGCAATAATATGTTTATTTGATTTTATCCTTACTTATTCCTCTAAGACTATAGGAAATAATATGTTCAAACTTAGGAAGCACTTCAGCTTTACCTGCTAGTGAGATTTATTTATTTTTTTTTTTTTCCAGAGAGGGTTTCTCTGTATAGGCCTGGCTACCCTAGAACTCACTTTGTAGACCAGGCTGTCTCATATTCAGAGATCTACCTGCCTCTGATTCCCAGGTGCTGAGATTAAAGGCGTGCACCACCACTACATGAAAAAGTGATTTTTATGTGTGTTAGTGGTCACCAGCATATGTCTATCTGACAGTGTTAGAATCCCTGGAACTGGGGTACAGACAGCTGTGAGCTGCTTTGTGGGTTCTGGGAATTGAACCCATGTCCTCTGGAAGAGAATCCAGTGCTCTTAATGACCGAGATATCTGTTCAGTTCCCCTGAGAATTATTTAAAGCTATGGTAATTTAGCAGTTGGTACATTTCAGCAGACATCGTTGTAAGTTGTGAACCTATGTTTTAGAAACATAAAAATAGATCAGAGTCCTTTTTCCTTTCATCTGCAAATTCTTTCAGGTAAGTTTTAAATTTCCAGTTAGGTTAACTTGTGAAGCTTTATTCAGTCCCCATCCCCTTCTCATTAATCTTTATCCTTCTCATTATTTTGTGTGTGTGTGGTGGTTGTGCACAGGATGTATTTGGTAGAGATGGTGGGGGAAAGGGTCCTCTTCACCTTTGTGGTGTTTATAAGTTTCTTTCTGAGATCAGTATCTTAAAGTTCACAGGTCTGCCTCACAGTAACGATTGACTTGGGTGTTTAAAGACATTGGGCTTGGGTTCCCCCTTGTACAAGCTGCCTCAAGGATGCTAAGGGTCTGTCCTGCTGGAAGCCATGGATGTTTTCCTCCAGCTCTGTGGATTAGGCTCTTTGTTGCAAGAGAAGCACCACCAGTGATGTGGTACAGGGAAGGAAGGAATCCTAGATCACAACTCCATCTTGCTCAAACCCAGCTTCCACAACAGTCCCATGTTAACTATTACATGGGTACCCCTTCTGCTTTCTCTTTTCACCGCCTTTCTAAAATGAAAATGCTCTCTGAGCACATTTTGGGTTTCTATCCAGGTAACGTTTTAGACTTTAACTTTTGTCTCTGCATAACCGTCTGTTGCACAGACTTTTGGTGTGGTTATAGGGAAATGTTCAGCAACAGTTGTTGGCCTGCCTGCCTCTTCCTCCACGGATTCCTATGTCATTTCCCTGGGATAGACTTCCACTTCCAGAAACGTCCTAAGTCTACGGCTTGTATTGGGTCTTGGGATTGTGACTGTGTGTTAGTTTTTTGGTGTGCTTTTAGGCAGCAGTGCGGAGCCCAGGGCGTATTGGCAATGGGTTTTGCATCCCAAGATTGGTTGAGTGCCAAATGCTCCTTCCTCTCCCTACCCCCTTTTTGTTTTCATCAGCACCTGGGCCACAGGCCACGGGCCACCATGGATATGAACCTTGATGCCCTTGGGGGTCAAAAGAAAACAAGCGACAGCAGCAAGGGAGGCGACAGCCCAGGAGCCCAGCAAGGTCACTACCCCTGCATGAACAACAACTAGAAGGCTATGCTTAATTCTCTGCAGGATGGTGGTCTCCTTCCTTTCCATAGACCTTACAAAGGGTTGTCCTTTGGCTTGTCCCTTGTATTTACAACTACAAACAGTGTGTGCAATGTAACCTCAAGTAACCATGGCAGTCACCAGGCTAGACATAGTGACCAGAGAGCTCTAGGTTGAACATTAGAAAGCAGGGTGAACTTCTGCTTGGTCAAGGTGCTGCCCTTTTCACTGCCCTTAGAAGCAGAAGCCCCAGTGACTGTCAAACAAGCTCAACCTGATGATGTGACACCATCTTGGAGACAAGAGAATCGTAGTATGGAAAGAGACAACAATGGTTGACAACATGCTGCCACGCAGTCCACAGCTCAGAGTCCCCAGCACCTAGAGGTTCTGTTTCATCTTTTGCCATATCTCAATAGCTTACCCAACAGCAGTTACTTTATGATGACTAGATATTCTTTAGATACCAATGCTTGGAAAGTCATGTAGTCCCTAACATCAGTAATTTGCATTCCTTCCTATTCACCCCATTGGTGAGGTGGAGATTCTCTGGAGACCTGGCAGTGGCTGAATACATCTGATTTTGAACTGATGAGATCCCCAAAAGTTTGGGATCACATGTGCTCATAGCACAAGGCCAAGAACACTTCAGGCCATTCAAAGACTTGGAGAGGGGAGAGTGAATAACCAGGAGCTGTGGACAGAAGTGAGAGCACCCTGTCCATGTACTTAAGGATAAGCAGAAATTTTACCTGCCCCCTGAAATAAACATGGTTTAAGTAAAGTTCCACCATGGCAGCGGAGTGAAGAGAGAAACATGCTATTAAGTAAATCAAGCCCCTCATCATTTTTCCAGCGGTCAGGGCAGCAGAGAAAATCACACCTGAATTATAATGCCATAGGCCACATGGTCATGAACTATCAGAACATGTATGTGGAGCAAATAAATTTTAATGTGAAAGTAAATGGTATTATTTTGAGTTAAAAGACCGTCTAGACTATGAAGGAAAATGAACACCCGTGATTTAAAATAAATACTATTAAAGAGTAAGTCATTTATATATTAAACATCTGTATATATGCAAGTGTATGACAAAATGAAAGAGAAACTTTGCTAGTACTTAGATGTACAAGAACTGAAATTTGAAGACAGAAACTAACTTTTCTAGAGTTATGAATAACTTTGTGACCAAATAAGCAAACCCCCAAAATATGACACCCATGAAAACCATGTATATGATACATTTAACTTCAGGACCAAGTATTTCCAAAACTCTCTTTTAAGTGATAACTACGTGGGCAAATAAGAAAGATAATTTTTCATATGCCCAGAAGAATAAAAGTTTACAAAGATCAAGGTGAGTGCTAAATGATGACTCTTTGCTTTTCTGTCTATCTCTCTCTCTCTCTACCCTGTCCCCCAACTCTTGACTAAACTTCTATTTATTCTAGTCTTATTTCAAGTCTAAGGACCATGATGGATGAGTGTTGCTCCAGTCCAGGTCTGAGTTCAATGGTAGAAGAAAACTGATGTTGTAAGTCAAAGACAGGCAGAGAGATCGAGTTCTTCCTTTACATATGTCCACAATGTTACACATCAATTTCATCCAACACCACACTCCAAGTCATATCCAGCCTAAAGCTTAGTCACAATCAGAGCACCCTGTGGCCTAGTCAAGTTGACATGTAAAATTAACCATTGCATTTGCCAAACTTAACTGCCAGTGCTAAGTGCAGTGAGTTAATACTGAGATATGCTTGTTTAGGTTCAACTTGGAAGAGTCGTTCCTGTTGGAATGAGGATAAAAGTAGATACTTTTAATGTAAAGAGCAGTAGACGCCATGAATTTTTAAAGTTTAGGATGCAAGGGAAACAAGATGAACTGTTTCAGAGGATACAACATATAATAAAGGATTTTGTGAAAATACAATTTTATGAGTATATATAATTAATTATCAAATAGATATACATGATGTATTTGGAGTTTAACGTCAAGTTATAAGTGACCTGATTTTATATAATTTAACAAAAACTATGTTTCTGTGCTTAGAAGTACTAAATACTGCAAGCTTTGAATTGTTGAATAATTCAACTTGTCCTAATTATACAAAAACTATATTTGATGTTATCTGTAGCATACACATTGAATTTTACATAAAGTATTATAGGCAGTATTTACTGTTTACATACTATTTCTAATAAGTCTTAGATCTATAGTTTAAGGTCTTTCCTTTTGCTCTAATTTTAATATGAAGCTATTCTTGGTCGTTTGCATTTGGAAACAGTAGGGTTTTCGGTAGGCTTGCTGATCAAACTTTTCTTCCTAATGGCCTTCTAATAGCTGTCCTTGACATTACTGGTCTCTCTTTTCAGGTCATGCTTCTCACACTCATCTTTTCCATGTGATGTGGAGATTTTCCTGGTTCTCCAACACACAGAGAAAAAGATGCACTCATGTGCTTTAACATGAATTTGCTTCTGTGTAATATGAATTCTTGCTATGTGTATGCCCCAACTCAGTAACGATCAACGTCAGCTAGGTATTCCCTTCTTCCGTGGGGACTTAGCGTTTACATGTGGATGTCACTTCTGTGTATATTACAATTTTTCCTCTTTGTTGCTGATTTCCCAGGATCTGGCACTAAGCAAAGCACTCTGTAAGACATGGGTGAGAGGAGACAGACTGTGCTCAATAATTGTAGATGGAGGCATTAGCGAGAGTGGATGAACTCCAGTCTTTTTTTCTTGGTAGCCAGGGCAATTCATTTTGAAGACCCTCAGCGTCCCTTTCTTTAAAATAGACTTAGTCACGACCACACTACAATGCAAGACCACAAAAGAGAATTTGCATCCAACAGCTTAAAAGCAGTGCATGTTCAAAATGATTTTTGTCAGTTTTCCTATTGTAAAAATCCTCTGAGTAAAAATCAGAGCAATGAAAAGGATACCTTGGAATCGTTTTCTTCTTTTTCTAAAGTTTATTATTTTTCTTTTATTCCTAACCTTATAATTGCATCATTTTCCCCTTCCCTTTCCTACCTCCATCCCCACAAACCTTACTCTCTTCCAAACTGATGCCATTTTTCATGAATTGTTGTAACATGTGTATATGTATGTATGCCTACATATATACTCTTAAGTATAATCTGTATAATGTTACCTGTAAAAAAAGATCCTTTAAGTAGATATGTAACAACCATTAAAAAGAGACCATGAATTTGAGGTGGGGGTGCAGGTGAGGGTTGGTGGTAGGAAAGGGAAGGAGGGGAGGTATGTAACTATACTTTCAAAAATGAAAAATATTATTTTTTAAAAATTGTCACTACAGAAAGTTTGGGAAACAATGAAGCTGGAAGGGAAAAATAGAAATCACAGCTAGTAACTCCACCCATAAAGGACTGCTATCGTTGCTTTAATAGATTTTTCTTATAGCGCTGTCTCTCAGTGCTTTTGTTTGTTTGTTGCTTTTGTTTTTTTGAATCAGGGTTTCTCTGTAGCTTTGTTACCTTTCCTGTCACTCACTCTGTAGACCAAGCTGGCCTCAAACTCACCTCCTGAGTCTTGGGATTAAAGGCATGTGCCACCACCACAGGACTCCAATTTTTTTTTAAGGTAACACATGCATACAGGTTACAAAATTATCTTTTGCTTGCTGTTTAAAACCAATTTTGGATGTCATTTTCATGAACTTTTGTTGTACTTAATATAACAATAATATAGTGACATTTTTATGTGACATAGGATTTTGTGCAGGTTAAATGAACCCATTTAAATATATGTTCATCTGTTTTACTTGATTATAAGTTAATAAAAGAATTATAAGTTATTTATTTTTACCATTGCCTTTTGTTTGAGCTTATATCTACTTCAATTAGAATATATGTTAGAAGTTAACAAGTACTGAGTAAAACAGGGCAACCAGGAATTGTGCTGTGACCTTCCTCACTGTAATTACAACAGCACTCAGACTAAAGTTTGTCTTTCAAGCATCATGAAACAGCTGAGGATTTAGACACAGTTTAAGTCTTGAAGACAATGCTAAAACAGTTTTCTTTCCCCAGAACGAATGTAAAAATTCTCCTTTAGGGAGAGAGTTTCTCATGGGTGGGATTAAGGAAGTGTGGTTTTCTGTGACAAAAAGCTTTTCTGGTTCGGATGCTGTAGAATGGAAGTGGTAAACATGGGTATTAGGCATCCAGATTATACATGTGCTTTTTTATTAAACACCAACTCAGTAGGGATGTCTGCGTGTTAGCCTTTTGTAGTTATAACCCACACCATAGTGGCTGAAGAGGACCATTGGTGTCCATAACAATATTTTATCATAACATTGACAAGTCAATGTAATTAATAGCTAAACACCTTTTATTTATGTAGTTACCGATGAGCAACATTTAGAGCCATTATTTACTTGGGTCCAAAATAGGTTATATTAATCCTACATTGATACCAATAGTAGGAAGTTAGCAGACAACTTCAAAGTTTTGCTGAAAGTCAAAAGACTATAAGAAATCAATGCACAATTCAGTTTCAGGAATGTTCACTTTTACAATAACCAGACTTGCAAATTTTCTGTATGGGCTACACAAAAAATGAAAGGGCCACGATGGTAGCCCGTACTACTGAACGCCATTCAGTATTGTGGACTGGAGTAGTGAAGTACGCATGATTAATGCTCAAGTCCCCATTTGAAATGGTTTCCCGTCAAACAGACACAAATCTGAATTTCATAAGGGGCTGGGAATAAAATTTGAAGTCACTTTTAGTGTAAAGAGATGAGTGAACAATAGGAGAGAACAATTTTTAAATCAATTTCTTATAAGCAATCCTGAATATGGCAAATATAAGATGCTCTCATAAGACATATAGGTATAAAACAAGTTGTACTGACGGACTTTAAAAAGTAGCCCAAGAAGTTCAACAAATATGTAGATTCTTAAAATTGTTTTGATGTATATGGTGCATAGTGC